TTAGATAGACTATACATTAGTAGAAATAATGTGAGTTGGGAAGTTACATGGTGACTCAGAAGTAAGAAAGCACAGTATCAAAAGGCCATTGGACAGTTTTGTGCTTAATAACCAACAAGGAAACAAAATGAGTGAAGTAGAAAATACAGAAACTGAAAATTATTTATCACGAGAAATAAACATTTATTCTTTTAGCATATTGATAAAGAAATAATATGTTTATTAAGATAATTCCGCCATACATAACTTTGGCTACAGGCATATGTTCTATATTAATTATTCAGTCCGATCTATTCTGGGAGTACAAAGTATAAACCCGAACTTAGATACGAGACAAAATCCCACGTTTCTGAGTATTGCAAATTAGTTATATGTTAAATCCTAAGTTATGATCGTAGTAGCAGCCTCATCTTTGTTTATTTGCTTTTTTGTTTTTCCTTTTTTCAGTTAAACAACTTGTTTAAGATATTTATTAGGATACGTATCAAAAAATGCGGTGGGCAGAGCACAGATAGCCCATTGTGTAGCTTTGTGCTTAACTTCAAACAACAACAACCATAGGATGAATACAATAATACTCTATATAAAAGCTACTTAGATTATTTTGACAGAAACAAAGGATTATACAAGTAAAAGTAACTACATTGTACTATACTATGTATAATAAACTATATATAAATATTTTTTTTTTCCTATAAAGATTGTTGGTATAATTTGAATGTCGACTCATTGTCGTATATGCAAATTATGTTTTATAGAAAAAACGAAAACTGACTTGATGTTTGATATCAGTATTTAAATTAAGAATAAAAATAACTTCTAAAATATTTTAAAATTGCATTATTTTCTCTTTACGTAGTATGATGAGTCCAATGTTTCAACATGATATTTCAAAAACCATCGGAGCAAAATAATTTCATATTATCTCATGTATTTTGAACTTTTGTAGTAAAGACAAACGGTGAAATAAATCTTTTTAAGAAATAAAAATTGCGAGAACATTTAAAGTTGAGATATATAAACAACAACAACAACAAAAACAGCAAAGAAAAACAAATGCCTGATTGAGGAAAAATAAGTTAAAACGTGCCAATGTGCATGTTCAATTCCAACTTTCATTATTGTGTATTAATAAAATTTGGCCCGGCATGGCCAGGTGGTTTAGGAGCTCGACTCGCAATCTGCGGGTCGCAGGTTCGAATCCCCATCCCACCAAACATGCTCGCCCTTTCAGCCGTTGGCGGTGGGTGATGATGACTAGCTACCTTCCCTCTAGTCTTACACTGCTAAATTAGGGACGGCTAGCGCAGATAGCCCTTGTATAGCTTTGCGCAAAATTCAAAAAACAAAGAAACAAGAGAAAACAATTAATAAAATTAACATTTACCTCTGCATGTGGATGCTCAATTTAAAATCAGATAACCAAATTCTGAGGGAAAGAATTAGAGAACTAAATGACTTATCACGAAGAAAATAACATTGTAGTTGGAAGAACTATGATTTGGCCGAAGCTCAACTTCCTTCCTTCCTTTTATTTGAATAATTTCCAAATGTGCTCGGTTATAGTCCGCAGAGCGTCCCTTTTTAAGCAACGCCTATTTTAAGTGTTTTTATCATAAAGCAATCTAAACGCAAAATCAATATTTTTATAATATACTTTATTATTGAGCATTCTTGGTTTAGTGCAAATCCGCATTGGTCTATCTGCTGTGTCCCTCGCGAGTAATCGACCCCCCTTATTTTAACGTTTTAAGCCCGTAGATTTACCGCTGTCCCATCGGGTGACTGTTATCGAGTATCATTAACATATTAAACCATTAAATTCTGCTTTCCTTCCAATATTAATGCAATTACCTATGCCATCGTCCTTTACGGGTATTTGGACAGCTTTATTTACAAATGTTAGTGTGTTTATCAATACTTATCTGTGTTCTTGCGTTTAAATCTATAATGGGAAATGATAAATAAAATAGCATAATTATCTAGATCCATCATCACTTTGTTCCTTTTTTTAAAAAAAGCCAATACTCTTATTACTACTAAACCCGACTATACAACAATTTAACCAATTTAATTTCCAGAGTAAAGTTGGATACGAAATTATGGTTTTGTTTAGCAACTTCTTTAACAGAAAACTGATTAATTTGGATGTAAATATGCATAAGCAAACCAAATTCCATGTACAGCAAAGACCCACCCCTGCAATAAGGGAGAACAACTATGATGATGTGGTATTCTGTGATGGGTTGTTATCCATCCAGTGTAGCGTACTAGCTACACAAGCATAATTACTATAATGTGTTGAAGAAACTATAACCCTCTGGAAAGAAATACCACATGACAAGCGTATAGCGATTAATATTTTAAATGCCGAAGTTTGTTCGTGTAAGGATTGCAACCAAATTGCACATATCTGTGAGGACTGCATGAAAATTATGGCGTGAGTTTTGGAAACTGAATGTGTTAAAGAAAGCCAAACTAACAGTCATTGATGTCAAGCGCCTCAGGATATGTTTATTGCATGATATATTTACCAGCAAAAACAAATGTGACCAATAACTTTGAAATAAAAGACAGAATAAAACGATTTGACTCACTACAGCCTCAACGGATGTGTAACTACATGAAACCTTAACTACAGAGAGAAAACCAAATGAAAATGCTGAAATAAGCAATAGAAATGTAATGAAAGGAAGAGCAGGCTTGATTACAGAGTATCTAAGTAACAATCGATGACAGTTATATTCCAAGGAGGAAAGAAAAATGGCTCCACGAGTAATATAAAACAACAACAGTGAAGCATGAAAGTGGATCTATGCGGTTTTGCGGCTGCATCTCCTCCATCAATGCTGGAGAACTAATGAAAACTGACAACAGAAAAGTAGAGTAAAAAGTAATGATGCATTCCATTAGGTCAATGGTTTGCACTTCAGGAGGATAGTGATTCTAAGCATCCAATAAAAATGGTGAAAACCGACCTTGAGAGGAAATAGGCGGCTGGAACATTAAAAATCCCACCTTGACCTGTTCAGACTTCAGTATGAATATCATTAAGGAAATTTGGGCCAATATGGATACATAGTATCAGCACAATAAAAAAAAAATATGTAAGACAATGGGAAAAGGTATCGGTTTGTTTGTTTGTAATTAAGCACAAAGCTACACAATGGGCTATCTGTGCTCTACCCACCACGGGTATCGAAACCCGGATTCTAGCGTTGTAAGTCCGCAGACATACTGCTGTGCCACCGGGGGGACCTTAGGGGAATACTTCCAACGTCTATGACATAGTAACGAACTTTTCGAACATAATTTCTTAAATTTTTATGGAGTTGTGAATCCACTTTTGTTGTTTAAGACTCATAACGTGGGTAAATAAAGTACTTTGTTGCCCGACGAAGGCTCCAGTAAGAGGGCCGAAAGGTCGCAAATGAAAGTATTTTAACGTAGAGAAAAGTCCGTGTATAATTCTACAATGCCACTTTTATCAGAATTCTTATATACATATGTATATATATATTCGGATAAAAAGTGAATTACATTAAAAACAGAGCTATCCTGGAAACATTGTAGGATAATAAAAGCCATATATACAACGTACTAGACGATCAATTTACGGGCGAAATTATGTAGTAATAAATAAAATATTTGTGAAATGTACAATTATATGTTTTCCATATATCTGTAAAGTATAGATATGATAGAATTACCTTCCTAAGTAGTAATTAATTTAATACAAAAGCTTAACTCAGTGTTATGCTAATTCAGAGATATCTACCGAATGAAAACAATGGGTATGGTATTTACAAAAATAAAATAAAAAACAAAGAAATAGAAATATCATACACAATCATTTGACTGTTATAAAAAATATCGTACGAAGGCTTATATGTAGAGGTAAGGAAGGATCTTGGTATCTTTGACGACTTTCCTAAAGTTCTTGCTTCGATTCTAAACAACGTATTGTTCTTTGAATTTGTAGGTAATGTACAATAGGTGAAAGTAACAAATTCAAAATACAACAAGTAAAGCAAGTGTACATGAATATTGTTTTTAAAGTAAAGGCCGCTTAAATTTTGTATGAACTGTTCGTTTCTTTTAGTGCTGTACATGAATGAATTATTTTTGATTTAAATAAAATATGCGGAGGTATTTTACTAATACATCTTTATCTGATACTAAGCACATGTTTCACATGTGATATGCTTGTAAGATGTTCTTCAATATATTATGTTTTAAATCAACTTAAATACCTTATTTATTACATAAGAATTGATGGGACATTAAAAGGAAGAAATGGCATTTTAATCGGAGTAGTTTAAAAGTTTGCATTGGTGAAATAATGTTGTACTAAACAACGTCTTTGTTAGTTGTTTTATGCAGTAGTTCAGTACATACAAGTTCGAAAGATTGTGGCTCCTTAAGTGATATAGAACGCAAATAAAATGTTGTAGTTATATATGCAACTACTGATGAGAAGTAGGAAGTTTTTATTTTGAGACTTAACTGTAAGATGATCTTATATATGAGGCTTATTTGGGAGCTAGTAAAATGAAATTGTTAGCTATGAGAAGAAATTCTGATCTATAAATAACAAAACCTTATTATCAGATTTCCTTAGGCTTCACACAGTGATTGGAAGGTAAGTTGAGGGAAAGATATTTATATATGTGTAAAGAATCATTTGATTCGTGTAGATGATGCGAGAGTTCAAGAATTATTAAAAACCTTATCTTGCCATCGCAGAAGTCTCCACAATTACTTTCATCTGAAGATCTACAATGAGATAAAGATTGGTTTTATTTCAGGCATTACAAAACTCGAACGGGTAGTAAAGTCTTAGGACAAGAAATTACTAGCAACTGAAATAATCCACTTGTGGCGTAACTACTGCGAAAGACCAATAGACTTTGATTTTCGTGATGACGTGTTTATAAAATCTGCTGACGGTATGATCGAGATTTACAACGTAAGTTTGGATGAATGTATACAGCATCTCGAACGGGTGCCTTTTGTTCGTTTAGTGGAATCACGAGAGAGAGAGTCCTCTCTTAAGTAACTACCAAGTCGATTAGTCTCACGCAGAGTGGGACCGACGAGCGGGTGCGTGGCAGTGTTCGACTTTCTCCAGTAGATCGTTAGTCATCTTGGATGTGATCCTCTTTTTTTTTACCATGTAATCAATGTATATATATATATACATAAATAATATATGACTATGATAAGATACTACAAAAGCTGTCTAAGCATTATTTCGTCAAACTGGTGATAGGAATAATCATTGTTAACTTGAAAGATACTTGAATATAACTGTAGGAAACTGGAAGGGAGTCTATCTATTGAATCATCTAATTATTTTAACCAGAGGATCACTTTGTTCGTACAACAATTCACTTCTTAAAAACTGGGAGTCAGATTTTATTCAAGAACGTACTGTGAAAAAGCCAGCAGTAAATATGTATATAAATGTATGAGACATTTTCATTCCTCGATCCTGCAACTTACTTTTTCTGTGCTTCCTAATGATACAGTTTGGATTAAACAATTTACTTCCCTATCTCGCGCAATAAGCCTTTATTAGATCAAAATAAGTTACACAACATATGTAATTCTTGTTAAAATTCTGTGATTTTTCAGTATTGGTACCTGTAGAAATACAACTTTTTTTTTTCATATAAAACCAAGAGGAACATAAATAATTAAAAATGTATGGCATGTTATTGGAAAGTGTGCAACACTTTGTACGGACAGAATATGGTGAAGATATGTGGTGTTTGGTGTTAGAAGAAGCCGGTTTCAAGAACAGTGTATTCACAACGCACCAGATCTATCCGGATCAACTGATCCTAAAGCTTGCTTCTTGTTGTTCGCAACATACTGGAAAAAGAACCGACGACTTTCTCCATTTTTTCGGTCAGTGTTTTGTTCGATTTTTCAGTCATTATGGATATGACACTCTCATTCGAGCGTCCGGTCGCCACTTTAGGGATTTCATCCATGGGGTCGACAATCTTCACCATCAAATACGTTTCAGCTACCCGAAAATGCAGAGTCCGTCTTTGTATGTTGAAACAGAAGATGTGAAAGGTGCCATTCTTCACTACCGCTCGAAACGATCGGGATTTGCGTATTACGTTATCGGCCAGTTAGTCCAAATCGCGCGAACTTTCTACGGACTGGAGTTGGATGTTAGAATTCTCAGAAATGGACCGGATTCTGATGGTACTGGTTGTCACGTGATTTATCACCTTCAATTCGACAACACACCCTACCAAAAACAACAAATGGCTCGTAAAAGTTTACAGGAATTAACTGACCTTTCTCCGATTTCTGGGCGTAATCTCTTCATTTTATTTCCATTTAGCGTAGCCTTTGACCGTAACATGAATATTTTGGAAGTCGGTGGAAAAGTGCGGGAGCTCTTCAATTTTCATGGTTTTATAGGAAAACACGTAGAAACGTTTTTTCTCTTTCATAGACCAAGAGTGGTGTTTTCGTGGAGAAATGTAAGTATACCTGATTTTTATATATATATATTATTTTTTTTTTGTTTTTCGTAGAGTAAATGTAAGTGTACCTGATATATATAT